GTAAGGACTGACAGAGGGGTGAGGTGTGAGAGGACCGACAAGAGAGGAAAATCCATCTGGCGGCAGCATTCATTACAAACTGTAACGGGGCAATACGGCTTTTGGGAAGACTAATTAGGAGAGGGTTACAATAATCCATGCAGGAAATTACTAGAGCATGGACAAGCTCCTTATTTTTAAGATGAAAAAAAAAAATCGTAGTAACTTTGATAAGAGCAGTCTCATTAGAGTGGAGAGGGCAGAAGCCAGACTGAAGAGGGTCAAGGAGAGAGTTGGAATTGAGGAAGTGAGACATATGGGTAAAGACAAGTCTTTCCAGAAGCTTTGAGGAGAAAGGAAGCAGGGATATGGGACGATAGTTAGAGGGGAAAAATGGCTCAAGAGATGTGTACTACAGTGGCATGTGTAAGGTCAGCAGTGACAATGCCAAAAGAGAGAGAGCAATTGAAGATGTGTGTTAAGGAAGGCGCAATACAAGGGGAGAGAGATCTGATAAGGTGAGATGGGATAGGATTGAGTGGGCAAGTGGTGGGGTGAGAGGAAAGGAGAAGCACAGCCACCTCTTGTTCAGTAGCTGGGGAGAAAGTCTGAAGGGTAGGAAAGGCATTATCTATGTGTGGTTGAAAAAGAGAATGGCAAGGTGGGGAGAATTCTTTCCTTAGCTGTTCAGTCTTGTCGGTAAAGTAACATGCAAAGCTATCGGCTGTAAGGTTAGTTTGGGTGTGGCCACAGCAGGTCGAAGAAGAGAATTAAAGGTGTCAAAGAGACGCCTGGGATTGCGGGAGCATGAACTAATGAGAGAGGAAAAGTATGACTGTTTGGCGAGGGCAAGGGCTGCGCTGTATGAACACAATATGAATCTATAATGGAGAAAGTCTGACTGGGTGTGAGACTTCCTCCAGGAGCATTTAGCACAACGGGAGGATCTTTGCAAGTAACGTGTTAATTTAGTATGCCACGGTTGGGGGCTTTCCCTCCTCGAGGTGCATGTTTGGAGCGGGGCTGCAGTGTTCAAGGCAGAGGTGAGGGTGGTGACACCCTAAAACCTGTACATGGGGGGTACTGTTTTACTCGGAAAACTTTGCTGAACACAAATATTAGTGGTTCAAAACAGTAAAATGTATTACAGCGATGATATCGTCAGTGACATTTTTTGCATTTTTCACATACAAATGGCACTTACACGGACGATATAATTGTTGTAATACGTTTTACTGGTTTGAAACACTAATATTTGTGTTCATCGAAGTCTCCCGTGTATAACAGTACCCCTCATGTACAGGTTTTATGGGGTTTTCAAAAGTTACAGAGTCAAATATAAGGCTTGCGTTTCAGTTTTTTTCTAATTAAAATTTGCCAGGTTGGTTATGTTGCCTTTTGAGAATGAAAATTACCCCCATGATGGCATACCATTTGCAATAGTAGACAACCCTAGGTATGTGGTATGTTCAGACTTATTTAGTAGCCACTTAGTCACAGTTACTAAAAAAGACTGGACATACCCCATTGCAATACCTTGGGTTGTCTACTTTTGCAAAAGGTATGCCCAGGGGCGGACTGAGAACCCTCAGGGCCCCCGGGCAAAATAAATCAAGGGCCCCCTTACAGGCCCCACCCATACTCTGCAGCAAGCGCCACCCTTGTCCCGCCTCCATGCACCGCCTCCAGCCACACCCTACACAATCTTTAGACACAAGGAACAAAAGGGCAATAAGCCCTTCGAGGCCCCAGCAGAGACTACAATTGAGGGCTAATGGGCCATGGAGGGGGGTCTTTCTAGCGGAGGCTATCTCAGTGTCCTTTAGAGAGTGTGTTAGAAAGAATCCCCTCAAGGCCCCATTAGAGACTACAATGGAGTCTAATAGGCTTGGAAGGGGGTCTTTCTAACAGAGGCCATCTCAGCGTCCATTAGATATCCCCTGCTGGAAACAGTCGCCTCCAGGCCCCAGTAGAGACTACAATTGAGGGCTAATGGGCCATGGAGGGGATTTCTAGCAGAGGCTATCTCAGTGTCCTTTAGAGAGTGTGTTAGAAATAATCTCCTCCAGGCCCCATTAGAGACTACAATATAGCAACACAACATAGCTCACTGATACCTAGGCCAAGTTGGCTCCTCTTACCTTAATTACTGTTGCTGGCTGGCAGTCTGTGGGCTTGCTTGCTGCGGCTGGCAGGCTGTGGGCTTGCTGACTGCGACTGGCAGGCTGTGGGCTTGCTGGCTGTAAGCCTGTGGCTTGCTGTAGGCCTGTGGGCTGGCTACTGGCCTGTGGGCTGGCTAACTGGCTGGCTACCGGCCAGCCTGTGGGTTGGCTGGCTGGCTACTGGGGCACTTGTAGATTATTTAAATAAATAATCCATGCGCAATAACCACTACTGCTCCAGAGTAAGTAGTCAAATCATTTAAGAACAGTTTGACAACTTACCTGGGATCTGCTGGGATATGGGGCTGTAGTAGGGAATAGGAGCAGTGGTGCAATGTGTGTGAAAGGTTCAGTGTGTGTGGGGGGTGTAGTGTGTGAATGTGTAGGGTGTGTGGGCTGTGTATGTGTGTGGCAATGTTAGTATGGGGGGCTGTGTATGGGGGTCTATGTGTATATGGGTGGGCAGTGTATGTGTGTGTGTGAGGCAATGTGTGTAAATGTGTATGGTGTGTATGGGGGCAGTGTGTGAATGTGTATGGTGTGTGTGTGGGGGCAGTGTGTTTATGGGGCTAGAGTTCACTCTCACCACTGCGACCACCAGGAATCCCTGGGGGTCACAGTGTTGAGAGTGAACACTAGACCGTAGCTCCAGGGCTAGAGCTGACTCTCGCAAGAGCGGTAACGTTGCCATGGTAATCGCGGCAACGCTCTGTGCTCGTGCAAGAAGGACCCAGAGGAGCTGCAGGGTGAGCTCCCAGGTCCTCTCTTCCTTCCTCCCCTGCCCGCACGGTGCCTGCGGACAGGGGAGGGGGAGCAATTGCCCTGTTGCCCCCCTGGATCCACCAGTGATATATACAGCCCTTCTGTGTGCCTTTTTGTCTCCCCCCGTCCCTCTGTATGTTTCTTTCTCCCCCCTCCTTCCCAGTCTCTCTTACCCCTCTGCCTCTTTCTCCCTCTCTTCCACTGTTTTTCTCCCCCCTTTCCCTGTCTCTCTCTCTCTCCCCCACATCTCTCTTCCTCTCTGTCTCTTTCTCCCCCTCCCCATCTCTTTCTCCCCCTGTGTCTCTTTCTCCCCCTCCCTATCTCTCTATTCCCCCTTTCTCCCCGTGTCTCATTCTTCCCTCTCTGTCTGTCTCCCCCCTCCCCATATCTCTGTTCCCCCCTCTTTCCATATCTCTGTTCCCCCCTCTTTCTCCCCCCTCCCCATATCTCTGTTCCCCCCTCTTTCTCCCCTCTCCCCATATCTCTGTTCCCCCCTCTTTCTCCCCTCTCCCCATATCTCTGTTCCCCCCTTTCTCCCCTTATCTGTTTCCCCCCTCCCCATATCTCTCCCTCCCCCTCCATATCTCTTTTCCCCTCCTCTCCCCATATCTCTTTTCCCCTCCCTCTCCACCATCTCTTTCCCCCTCTCCCCATATCTTTCCCCTCCTCTCCCCTTTATCTCTTTCCCCCTCCCTCTCCCCATATCTCTTTCCCCCTCCCTCTCCCCATATCTCTTTTCCCCTCCCTCTCCCCTTATCTGCTTTCCCCCCCCTCCACTCTCCTTATCTCTTTCCCTAGCTTCCCCTCCCCATCTCTCTGTTTCCCCCTCTTCCCCCCCATCTCTCTATTCCTCCCCCCCCCCTTACTCAAGTCAGAGGGGGCGGCCGTTTGATGCTGCAGCCGCCGGACCGGGTAGCAGCCTCGCCGGTCCAGCGGCATTCCTCTCACTAACACAGAAGAAGAAGGAGGAGGAGGAGGAGGATGTGTCTATCATGCTCCTTTGCGGTTCCCACATCCTGTGCTGGGAATTGTGGGAACCGCAGGGAGCATGACAGATACATGCTCCTCCTCCTCCTCCTTCTTCTTCAGTGTTAGTGAGCGGAATGCCGCCGGACCGGCAAGGCTGCCACCCGGTCCGGCGGCTGCAGCATCAAACGGCCGGCCCCCCTCACAGTGTGCCACCGGACTGGCTACCCGGTGGCACCTGCAGTCCCCAAATGCCGCCCCCAATCCAGCCCTGCCGCCGGGCCCCCTGAAGGCAGCCCTGGAGGCGGGCCCCCCTCCCGGCCGGGCCCTCGGACCGTGTCCGAAGTGCCCGACCGGTCAGTCCGCCCCTGCATACAAGAAAAAGGAGATTAATTTTGGGCAAGTAATAGAGAGCTCACACAGGCTCATTTAACAGCTCATTTTTAGCAAAGCACACATAACACTACTTAAAAGTAAGCAGAGAGTCATGTTCTTTAATTGAAACTGAACATACAAGTAAAATGAGATTGATGTTGGGCAAGTGATAGAGAACTCACACAGGCTCATGTAACAGCTCACTTTACTCAAAGCAGACATAACATTAGTTAATACTAAGCAGAAAATCATGTTCTTTAATTGAAACTGAACATACAAGTAAATGGAGATTCATTTTGGACAAGTAATAGAGCACTCACACAGGCTCATCTAGCAACTCACTTTACTCAAAGCAGACATCACACTACTTAAAACTAAGCAGAGAATCATGTTCCGTTATTGAAACTGAACATACAAGTAAAAGGAGATTCATTTTGGACAAGTAATAGAGGGCAAGTCTGGTGCATACTGGGTCCTGGTCGTCCGGCTGCCGCCCAGCCAGTGTCTGGGTCCTGGTCACTGGACTGCAAAACTACGAATGGCTCGTTAAATCTGTTATGGTTCCTTTTATCGCTCCATCTGTTACTTGGATAACTGTGGGAATTCTAAAGATAATACATGCCAACGAGCGTTAGGGGACGGCCGCTCCGCTTTTGCACCCTGCTCCCTCTTATGCTGTGCTGGTGCCTCTGTGCGACCAGCGCCTCTTCCTCCAAACTGCACATGTCATTCGCATGACCTTGATTCCATGTGGGGTCTAGGACCTCATCATCCTCCACATCATCTTCCACCCACTCCTCAACCCTGCCCTCATTGCGGGTCTGCACACTGCAGAAAGCCACAGCAGTTGGCACCTGTGTTTTTCCAGCATGTAAAGTCTGCAAAGGACATATGGAAATTGTTTTAGAATTGTATCCAGGCAAAATTTTTCCCTATAAACTGACCTCTCAGTTTGACTTGTGAGGGTATTGCCCCCGAATTACAATATTGTTATATTGGTATTTGACGCTTCTATTTGACTCTAAGATATGAAGAGCAGGGCCCAAAATGTACTATCTAGCAGATTAGCAGCAAAACAATTAGAATGTTTACAACTGCGCTTTAAGCGCTCTATTTGACACTTCTATTTGACTCTCAGATATGAAATGCACCCCACTAATGTACTTTTTAGCACCCTCAACATTTTAAATTTTAAAACTTCAATGTATCAGCAGTATTTGATGCTTCTATTTGACTCAGTACAGTGCGCAAGGGGTCCCTGTCTGGGTTACCCATTTGTTCTCAGATTTCTCATATTGTACTATTTAACAGATTAGCAGCAAAACAATTAGAATTTTTACAACTGCGCTGTAAGCGCACTATTTGACGCTTCTATTTGAATCTCAGATATGAAGAGCATGCCCAAAATGTACTATTTAGCAGATTAGCACCCACAAAATAAAAATGTTTACAACTGCGCTATAAGCGCACTATTTGACGCTTCTAATTGACTCTCAGATATGAAGAGCACGCTCAAAATTTACTATATAGCAGTTTAGCAGCAAAACAATTAGAATGTTTACAACTGTGCTGTAAGCGCATTATTTGACGCTTCTATTTAACTCTCAGATATGAAGAGCACGCCCAAAATGTACTATTTAGCAGATTAGCACCCAGAAAATAAGAATGTTTACAACTGCGTTATAAGCGCACTATTTGACACTTCTATTTGACTCTCAGATATGAAGAGCACGCCCAAAATGTACTATTTAGCAGATTAGCAACCAGAAAATAAGAATGTTTACAACAGCGCTGTAAGCGCACTATTTGATGCTTCTATTTGACTCTCAGATATGAAGAGCATGCCCAAAATGTACTATTTAGCAGATTAGCACCCAGGAAATAAGAATGTTTACAACTGCGCTGTAAGCGCACTATTTGACGCTTCTATTTGACTCTCAGAAATGAAGAGCAGGCCCCAAAATGTACTATCTAGAAGATTAGCAGCAAAACAATTAGAATGTTTACAACTGCGCTTTAAGCGCTCTATTTGACACTTCTATTTGACTCTCAGATATGAAATGCACCCACTAATGTACTTTTTAGCACCCTCAACATTTTAAGTTTTAAAACTGCAATGTGACAGCAGTATTTGATGCTTCTATTTGACTCAGTACAGTGCGCAAGGGGTCCCTGTCTGGGTTACCCATTTGTTCTCAGATTTCTCATATTCTCTGTTTATATTTTGTATACACCATTATTTTTGTTCAAAATATATTTTCCTTTATTAAGTTTTGTCTTTGTCTCGTATAAGAATCACATTACCAAAGAGTTATATCATAATACTGTGATTTCATAGGCATTTCTGCTAAACCAGGTTTTGTGGGTTTTAAAATCTAGTCACTTGTCTACCTTAGAGTGATGGGGTTTGTGACACCTAGTGCCTCATATGGGAGTGTAGAAGCTTGCATGGGAATATGTGCCAGATCCTCTCACCGCTATTTTATTAGCAACTGGGCAGCAATAGCTATATATAATTATAGTTGGCAGCTGCTGGCTACTCACTGTTTAGTAGATATACACCGGCTGACAGCATAGTGGGTCATGGGCATAAGGGTGTGTAATACCTCCCTTAAGCATTTCATAATCCTCTCAGGCTTTTTAGTATTATTCTTTTTCCAGTTCATTCAAGTCATTTTGTATGGAGGAATCAATTGGGGCAAACTGAAATGACAAATAATTGAAATGATGAAATCTAGTTTATCCAAATCATTACCTCCCCCAGCCACACAAAATGACCAAAAGCGGGAAAAAAAATGATAGATCGACAAATAAATAAACAATAATATGGCAATTAAAACAATAAACAAATCACAATAATAAATCACTAATTGGTATTGGTTAAAGGCACACTATAGACACCAAAACAACTTTAGTTTAATGAAGCAGCTTTAGTGTATATATCATTCACTGCTAGTATAGATCATTCACTGCTCAATTTTCTGTCCGGTTAAATCAGTTGTCACTTTTGTTTCTGTTTATGCAGCCCAAGTAAATGACAGTCTGCATAAAAAAAAAAAAAAAAAAATGGTTTCACTTTCAATAATGTTAACTTACTTTAAAAGTTGTTAGCTCCTGACCTGTAAATTGAACTTTACTTGCATACAGGAGGCTACTGCAGGATCTAGAAAGCTATTAACAGATCAGGATATAAGAAATTCTAAATTAAATAAAATGTGTAATAAAGGAAGTGTAAATTCTTTACACTTCTTTACAGGAAGTCTGTGCAAGTCACATGCAGGGATGTGTGACTTTGGCTGCATGAACAAAGTGATTTAACTCCTAAATGACAGGTAATCAACCAGTGAGACTGATCTTTTCACCAAAACTGCTTTATAAAGCGGAAGTTGTTTTGGTGCCTATAGTGTCGCTTTAAGTAGTGATTAAGCATTGGTGAAATGCAGATGGTAAGGGATTCACTACTAATTCCAAAGAATAAATCCCATACCCCCCAAAAATAAATGATAAGCCCCCTTCCTTACTGCAAGTCACTAAAAACAGCTTTATAAAAACCACCCAGTACATACACAGGCATTTTTTTTTTTTGCAGTGCATGAGGGTATAACAAAGCACATGTGGTACCCCAAAGGCAGTCCGCATGCTTTTTGAATAACATTTATAACAGTGGGGTATATGTCAATACCTGCACAATTTTATGTTAATATGAGATTCGTATAACACGAGGATACCAGGCTATGACACATCTGTAGTTGCAAATTTAGTTACACTTAATACTATGGTAAGATATGCGGCATTGCATGTTTAAGAAGGGTAAACTTTCCTACTTAATGGAACTTGTTAAATCGAGTTAAAACAAGCCTAAGAGTGTTACTCGTGTGATGAGACTATATTATCCTGAACTTGCAAGGTGAGTACAAGATGATCAATTGCTTAACGTTTTGCTTTGATGTCACACTGTAACAGGTTAAAGTGATCATGTCTAGCAGTGGGACAAAGCTATACTTGAGTGTTAAACTGACTGGGTCTGTTAGCTATGTTAAATTGCCCAAAAGAGGTAACATTAAACCTAGAGCTGTGCAGCGTGTTGTACTTGTGGGTCGCTGAGGAGTCCCCATCATATGGGACAGGTAGTAGATAGCCCACTAAAATAATGGTGAGAGAGACAGATACGAAAAGTCAAATAATACCAATACCGAGGTGCGGCTAAGTAAGTTCAGCAGTGGCAGGTCGGTGTCCTCTGGTGTTAGGGGACTTGCAGCATGGGTGGCCGAGCTGCAGTGAGATGTTCTGCCTCTTTCAGACAATTCCCTTGCTGTGGGTAAGACCCGGCCATGGAAGCAGTGTTTGTGTATGGGGTATAGAGTGTATGTAGTGTGTTTGTGAGTGTAAGTGCAGGCAGGGCCGGACTGGGGAAAAAATTAGGCCCGGGCATTTTTCAATCAGAGCGGCCCCCTAAGAAGGGGGCGGGGCCAGAGAGGGTGTGTTTTGTCATCACTAATGACAAGCACGCCTCCTCTCAAAGTGAGCATGTTGGTTCAATGCGCAGAGCTGCGCTGAAGAGCTCTGGCATTAGAAAAAGGCCCTGTATTTGTTCTGCGCAGCGCAAGCAAATTTAATAATATGCTTGCGCTGTGTTTGCTTTTAAATTGTCTCTGGTGTCTCAACAAGTGGGATACCAGAGGACAAAAGGGCCAGGAAAGTGTATGGTGCATGTGTTTGGAGCCTGCTTGTGGGATTGCGTGTGTGTAGAGTGTGGTGTGGTATTGTGTAAATAGGTAAATTTCATATGTGTTTGTGGTGTAATATGTGTGGCTAGGGGCTGTAGAGAGTGTGTGTATAGGTGGCATAGTGTTATAGGGAATGTAGCGAGTGTGTGCATACGGGCTGTAGTGTGTGTATAGGTGACGTAGTGTGTGTAGGGGTTGTAGAGAGGGTGTGTTTAGAGAATGTTGTATGTGTTTGCTGACAAGGAATGTAGTGTGTGTGTAGGTGGTGCAGTGTGTGTAGGAGATCTAGTGTGTAAAGGACCCAGAGTGTGTATAGGAGATTGTGTGTGTGTGTGTGTATAGAGGATTAAGAGTGCATATAAGGTAAGGGATCTAGCGTGTATCTGGAGCGTAATGTATGTAGTGCTGTAGTGTGTGTGTGTGTGTGTGTGTGTGTGTATATATATATATATACATACATATATATTTGGACGTATTGTATGTGTGAGGGGCGCAGTGTGTGTGTATGTAAGAGGGGTGCTGTGTGTGAGGGTGTTTTTATCTGCCGTCACATTCTAATTTTCTTTGTCTGTTAACTTACTGAGGGTTATTTTATATATTATATATATATATCTGTAAATATATATATATATATACATACATATATATATATATATGTGTGTGTGTGAGCGAGGGTGCTGTCTGTCTGAGGGTGCTGTGTGTGAGTGAGGGTGCTGTGTGTGTCTGGGTGCGCTGTGTGTGTCTGGGGGTGCTGTGTGTGCTGTGTGTTTCTGGGGGTGCTGTGTGTGTCTGGGTGCTGTGTGTCTGGGGGTGCTGTGTGTGTCTGGGTGCTGTGTGTCTGGGGGTGCTGTGTGTGTCTGGGTGCTGTGTATGTCTGGGGGTGATGTGTGTGTCTGGGGGTGATGTGTGTGTCTGGGGGTGCTGTGTGTGTCTGGGTGCTGTGTGTGTCTGGGGTGCTGTGTGTGTCTGGTGTGTCTGATGTGTGTGTCTGGGGGTGATGTGTGTGTCTGGGGGTGCTGTGTGTGTCTGGGTGCTGTGTATGTGTCTGTGGGTGCTGTGTGTGTGTCTGGGTGCTGTGTGTGTGTCTGGGGGTGATGTGTGTGAGTGTGATTTTTTTTAATTTAAATTTATTTTTTTTAATTAATAATAATAATTTTAAAAAAAAGTTATATCCCCCCCCTCCCTTCTTACCTTTAGCCTGGGAGGGGGGGGCCGTTTTGCCTGGGACGGGGGGGGGAGCCGTTCTGCCATGGGAGAGCCATGCTGCCTGATCCCTGGTGGTCCTAGTGGTGAGCGTGAACTCTAGCCTGTAGGTTAGAGTTCACTCTCGCGAGATCTGAGCGTTGCCGCGGTAACCGCGGCAACGCTCAGAATCCCGCGAGAGGACCCGGCGGAGCTGCTGGATAGAGCTCCGCCGGTCCTCTCCTCCCTCCCTCAAACCCCAGCAAGCGGCCGCCTGGAAGTGTCTCTGGGCCGGTAAAGGGAGATCTTTGATCTCCCCACCGGTCCATGGAGGCACACAGCGGGGCCGGCGCTCGGGTAGCGCTGGCCCTGCACGGGCTGGCAGGGGAGATCCTGTGATCTCCCCTGCCGGCCTCGGCCCCACGGCCATCGCGGCCCACCGGGCATTTGCCCGGTATGCCCGATGGCCAGTCCGGGCCTGAGTGCAGGGGATGTAGTGTGTATATAGATGGTGTAAGCAGAGACATATTTGCCACGAGGCAAACAAGGCATTTGCCTGGGGCGGCAATTTCGAAGGGGTGGCAAAAACCGCCGCCCCAAATGCCCAGGCTAATGCCTTGTTAGCCTGGTGGCTAACTAGTGCAGGTGGGTGGCTAACTAAAAATCCATGCGGGGGGCGCTGGCGAGGGAGCACTGATTTGTGAGCTCTCTGCTCAGCTCCCTATATGACGTCATATTTCAGCTCCCAGCATCACGAGGGAGGGAGCTGAGCAGAGACAGCTTACTAATCAGTGCTCCCTCGCCAGCGCCTTCGCCCGCCCGCATGGATTCTTATTTAGCCGCCTGCCACCCTTCCTGTCAGAAGGGACCCCAGGTAAAAAAAAATTCCACCCAGCACTCCCAAAGGTAGGGAGGCTGGGTGGATTTAAACAAAAAAAATAAAAAAGTAACCAGTTAATGTTTGGGGAGGGGAGGGGGGCTGTCAGTGTGTATGTCTGTCTGCCAGTGTGTGGATGTGAGTGATTGTGTGTGTATGTCTGTCAGTGTGTCTGTCACTGTGTCTGTCTGTCAGTGAGTGAGAGTGTGTGTGTGTCTCTCTGCAGGGATGTGTCTTCCGCGAGGCAAACAAGGCATCTGCCTTGTGCGGCACTTTGCAGGGGAAGGCAAAAAAAGCCGCCCCCCCAAACGCCCAGGCAGAACCCTTGCTTGCCTCGCTTCCTGGGGGGCTCAAGAGCTGGCTGGCCACTTTTGACCCCCCCCCCCCGATGCGGGCAGTGAGGGAGCATACTCACCTGAGCACTTCCTCAGCTCCCTTCGCACCGCTTAATGAAGCCGGGAGCTGGAATATGACGTCATACCGGCTCCCGGCATCACTAAGCCCCGCCAACTCAGCCTGTGCACACCCTGCCTGCCCGACCAGCAGCACCACTGGACAGGTAAGAAATCCACTCCAGCTCTCCCAGGGAGGCTGTGTGGATTTAAAATAAAATAAAAATAATAATTTGTAAGTGTTGGGAGAAATGTGTATGTGTCTCTAAGTGTGTGTGTGTGGGTCAGTGAGTGCGTGCATCTGTCAGTGTGTGCGTCTGCCAGTGTGTGTCCAAGTAATAGTGTGTGTGTGTCATTGTTTGTCAGTGTATATTAGAGTGTGTGTTTGTCAATGAGTGTATGCATCTGTCAGTGAGTGAGCGTCTGTCAAAGGGAGGGGGGGTGCCCGAGCACCGTCCTGCCTAGGGCAGCCCAAATCCTAAATACACCACTGGGTGTAAGTGCATGGGGGTGTATTATGGCTTAATTAAGCGTGGCTTAAAATATTTTTTTATTTATAATTAATTTAAAAAAACACACTGATATGTACACCTCCTACACCTTATTACCTTTTAGGGGAGAGGGAGCACGCTGATTCCTGGTGATCCAGAATGCTGGTTATGTGGCCCGTACCTCCGCTTCTCCCTCTCGCGAGAGCCGGTGTTTCAGAGCTTTGCTGTGGGTTACCATGGCAATGCTCTGATAATATCCGTGCTCACGAGAGGGAGACAAGAAGGCTGCTCTGTGTGTTGTCTGTGGCTTACTGGTGCATTTCTCCCTCCCACCCAGTAACTCAACCTTCACTGTCATCCATGAGGGTCCGGTGCTGCACTGCATGGGCTGACAGGGGGATTCCCTTGATCTCCCCTGCTGGCCTCGGCCCACACATTTATGTGCGTATCTCTAATCTCTATCATGGGCTTGGCACTCACATTCCTGTCCTGTTCTTGCCTCGGTGCTATTTCGTGCTCCAATACAACGTCCCAGAGAAATGCACTCAGTGGGCTTGTAGTCTTGTGCAATATATCCTTTATGTGTGCAAAGGTACAGTCAACATTTCAGTCTGACTTGGATTTTTTTTTTTTTCAAGAACGGTCTTTCCTTTCTCTTTGGGTTTATGGAAGTATAAGATCTGGTTTGTTCTGGAGATGAGATTATTGTCACGTATTCATCTGCTTATAAAAATGTGATTAATGGAATTTACTATTCAGACAGGAAAAGTTGTGCCGAACAGTATTACTGGCCTGACAGGAAAAGTTGTGCCGAGCAGCAATCAAATCCACAGAAGGGTTTGTGCTGAGCAGCAATTATGCAAATGAAACCTGGTAACTGCCTTTGGGTTCAAAGGCTGATTACAGCATATCAGATCCAGAGCAGAAGACACCCGGCTCAACGAGGCTCCAGGAAAACTCATATAAACTCTTCACGAGATGGTACATCACCCCTGCGGACCTCCATGCCATAGAAAGCTCGAAACCGGACACGTGCTGGAGATGCGTAAGGGAGACTGGGACGTTTCTACACCTCTGGTGGGACAGCGCCCTCATTAGACCATTTTGGGAAACAGTAGGGCAAGTGATCAATGAAATTGCAGATGAAAGCCTCCCAATGACACCAGCTCCCTTCTTGCTACACCCAGGGCCGGTACAAGGATTTTTGCCGCCCTAGGCAAAAGAAAGATTTGCCGCCCCCCCTTCTCCCCCCCGGGACATCGCAATGCCCCACCCATATGATCTGCCATATGAACTAGTGCCAGTGCTGCACACAGTGTATGTTTACATTAAAAAGCCTGCAGGGACAAACTATATACACCAGAACAACTTTATTAAGCTGCAGTGGTTCTGGGGACTATAGTGTCCATTTATTGTGAGGTAAATTAGAGATTAGTGTCACTAATAATATACTAGATTGCCTACTTACAATCAGATGAGGATGGTGATGGGCTCTGGCTGCAGTCTGGCTCCACTGGTCTGGTGTAGAACAGGATCTCTGGAGGCTGTTTGTAACTGTGGTCACAAAATTCAATGTTCTGGGAGAACGGGAAGCAGCTCCATTTTTTGGGGCCTCTTACATAGCTCAAGGTCTGGGCCCCAGGGCCTGACGGTGAGTATGCCCATAAAGCCCACCCATAAGTCCACCTACATGTTCCACCCATGAACTCACAGGGAGTAGAGTGTGTAGGGGATGTGTTATGTGTTACTGTAGAGGATCTAATGTGTGTGCTTATGGAATGTAGTGTATAGGGATACCAGTTTGTGTAGGTGATGCAGTGTGTTTGTGTGTAGTGGAAGCAGTGTGTTTTTGTGTAAGGGATAGAAAGCAGTGAGTGTTTGTGTATAATGGATGTATTGTGTGTTTCTTGTTGTGTGTAAGGGATGCATTGTGTGAATCTGTGTTTGTATGCATAAGGGATGCAAAGTGTGTTTCTGTGTATGTAAGGGATGCAATGTGTGTGTCTGTAAGGGGTGCGTTGAGTGTGTGTAAGAGATGCATTGTGTGTGTGTGTGTGTAAGAGAAGCAATGTGTGTTTGCATGTGTGTGTAAGGGATGCATTGTGTGTTTCTGTGTATATGTGCAAAGGATGCATTGTCTTGATGTGTAAGGGTTGCATTGTGTGTTTCTCTGTGTGTAAGGGAAGCATGTTGTGTTTCTGTGTGTATAGGGATGCATTGTGTGTGTGTGTGCGCGTGGTGTGAAAGAGCTCCCTGTCCTGCCCTCTGTCCTATAGAGCTCTCCCTTCCATTCCTTAGAGATCTCCCCTGCCCCTTAGTGGTCTCTCCTCTCCCCCCCACCTCCCTTAGTGGTCTCCTTTTCTCCCCGACTTTGCATTAGTGGTCTCTCCTCTCCCCCCACCCTCCCCTAGTGGTCTATCCTCCACCCCCCTCCCTTAGTGGTCTCTCCACCGGCCCCTCCCTCATTTAGTGGTCTCTCCCTCCCCTACGTTCTCATCTCCCACCCCCGTGTTCTCCTCTTATTCTCCCCCTGTGTTCTCCTCTTATTCCCCCCTCCCTGTGTTCTCCTCTTCTTCTCCCCCGTCCCTGTAATCTCTTCTTCTCCCCACCTGTAATCTTCTCTTCTTCTCCCCCCTCCCTGTAATCTTCTCTTCTTCTCCCCCCTCCCTGTAATCTTCTCCCCTCCCCCCCTGTAATTTTCTCTTCTTCTCCCCCCTAGATGGGCCGAATGGTTCTTATCTTATCTTATCACATTCTATGTTTCTATGTTTCCTTCCCTCCCTGTAATCTCTTCTTCTCTCCCCTCCCTCCAATCTTCTTTCTTCTCCTCCCTCAATCTTCTCCCCCTACCCTGTAATCTTCTCCTCCTTCCTCCTGTAATCTTCTCCCCTCCCTAATCCCTCCCATCTTTTCCCCCCTATAATCTTCCCCCCTATAATCTTCTCCCTCCCTCCCCTATAATCTTCTCTCCCTCCTCTATAATCTTCTTCCCTCCCTCCTTATAATCTTCTCCTCCCCTATAATCTTCTCCCTCCCCTATAATCTTCCCTCCCCATAATCCTCCCATAATCTTCTCCCCCCACTCCCCATAATCTTCTCCCCCCCTCCCCATAATCTTCTCTCCCCTCCCCTGTAATCCTCTCCTCACCTCCCCTGTAGCGTGGCCGAGCTCCTTTCCGGTCCACGACCCGGCGGGACTGACAGGAAGTGCACACTCAGTGTGCACTTCCTGTCAGTCCGACCGGGTCGCGGACCGGAAAGGAGCTCGGCCATGCTACAGGGAAGGGAAGGTGAGGCAGTGCAGCAGCCGTCTGAGCGCTCTCTATATGGGGCCCTAGGCGGCTGTCTAGTTTGCCTTATAGAAAGCGCCGGCCCTGGCTCACCACACAACGATACCCACGCCGGCATATAAACGATCAGTGATACCAAGGCTTCTCAACGCAGCGAAAACAACAGTCCCCATTTTCTGGAAGCAACCACGCACCCCTCCACTCAGGCGATGGATGGAGGAGGTGGAGGACACATGGAATTTTGAAGACCTGAAGGCAACCACAGCGAAGGCAAAAGAAAAATACACGAAGAGATGGTTCTACTGGCTGAGATATGTCCCCTCAGATGACTTTGTGTCACTCCTGAATGCAGGCGAGGAGCAGGCAGGAGACTTGTGAGAATTGACCACCTGTGGTGCCAGCGGGGCGGGACAAACCGGGGCAGAGACTGGGGATAAAGATCGACTGGACGGCAGAGGTGTCCACGCTCCTCAATGCTACCCCCTCTCCTAACCCCCCCATGCCCCTCTCTTCTCCGCTCCTTCCCATTTTCCTCCCCTTCCTTCTTTCCTTGTCCCAGAACTTTGCCCACACAGACACCCAGACATAAGAATATGAACTGAACTCCCTGGTGAATATGAGTGGGACACGCACACATACCCACATATCACACAATACGATGCTAGGGCCCGCTACCGACGTTTCTGACAACGTCACCCATGACCCCACCTGACGGTGGACGTACACCACGATACACACACAGTCTACAGGGACACATAACCATTCGACTACCTTATCACGTGTAATCCAACACCACCGAGAAAGAGATACCTACACCTGACATGACCCGATTATACACGGCAGGGCCACTCACATTGCATTATGCAACTACATAAACGTCTCGCCAGCCTGGCCACCTACACAGGTGTGGACAACAGACAGCGCACGGAAAACACAAACCTGGCTATTATTTAGGCGCTTGCACACCTCACGCTAGGTATCTGTCAGGAATATGGGGAATCCTAACACAGAGTGTAAGTAAAGTAGTAACGTACTGGACCTTAGAATGGCCGGACTGATGTTACTGAGAGAAAGAGAATAAAAAGGAATAGACGAGGTCAGGGAAGCCAGAGGTAGGACAAAACAAGAATAACAAGCCGGGTCAAACGGATACCAGAGAGAAGAATAGTCAAGACTAGCCAAAGTTCAAAACCAGAAAATATACCAAGAATATAACGCGCTATCAGGACCAAGAGGAACCACAACAGGGCAAAGATCCTAACTCATGGGAGCCTTTTTATATTGTGACTGGATCTGTCTGGGATGATAACCACGCCCCAAAAGTAATTTGGCTCTGCCCCCTTTTTCGCTGCATTTTGGCTCTGAGCCAGACTTTATCACCTGGATAATACACAGGAGCAGGCAGCCTATGAGCATCGGCAAAATTTTTCGCGTCATAAAAAGGGGCGGGGCTGTTGCGGCTGGCGCAAAAATGACTAGAGTTGCTGGAAGATTGCCAGGTCATCTCTCAGAGTCCTGCAGATGAACTCCACTGTGACCAGACTCCTGAGTCTCTACAAAAGGTACCCTGACAGTATCATACTCAGCCTCTACTCATCCGATGCCGCACCAACTGTGACCATACAATTCATGCAGCACTGAGCAAGATGCATATATCTTAATTAATAATAAGTTATTAATTAATAACTTAGGATGGTCACACCATGCAGCTTATAATGCATACACCCAGATCAGAACCTATCTGCATATGACGTCCTGAAGATTGATAATATATTGTGATGCAATACCAGGCCTCTGCGAAGGCACATGCAAGTCCATCATAAATTATCATGCTAAGCCTCTCAGTAGGCAATAACGCAACGACTAGTGGTTTCAATTTATTGAAGGAGTTTCTTTTTTCCTGAAGAAGAGGGGAGTAATTAAGAATAACAATTTCATTCCATTTGAAGCCTAAGTTGATCCTTAAATATTTCAGAGTCTCAGCGGTCCAGTTGAATTCATAGTTCTCTTTAAGCCCAGTTAAAACCAGAACAGGCAAATTAGAATGAATGTATTCAACGTGTACACAGTGGTTATGGTCAATGTGCCCTAAAACCCTCCTGTGTGGTATCCCCTTAAACCACACCAAAATACTTAAACAAAACACTAATAAATGGGGTTGAGCATAACAAACAATATACAATGTACGTATGTTAATAAGTATTCTGAAAAATAATAATGGAAGAAAGATAATGCTGCAAGTAAGTATGTATAAAATAAATGAATGTGAGGGTTACAGGTAGCACTCACAAGGATGGAGCCAAAAATAGCACTTTGCTTTGGTGAAAAAAGCCTCTGGATCTTAAGAGGGGATCCCACTCACTTATGCTGTTGCCTGGAACTTATGAGTAGTATTACCTGGCCGGGATAGTCAGGAACTTTGTTTAATTTTATCCAGTTTCACATCTTTCACCATATTCATATCTCTTGCTATTAAGAGTCTATGTTTCTGGATTTTATTAACCTTGGAGAGTAATTACGTAAAGAATTGCTGAGTATATATTAGGGGCATACAGTTGTGCTCAAAAGTTTGCATACAATATGAGAATTGGTAATATATGCAATAGCTAGTCCGGATTATAATTGTCAGACATGCCCCTGGCCAACAAGAGGCCATACCACCAAGCTAGCTTATTAACAATTACAGCTAGCATTAAAAAATAAATATTTATTATTACTTCTATTAAAGGCCTGGAAATTCAAGAATTTATATCTGTATAGTGCTCTTGGCAAAGAATATTTGAATATAGGAAATTTTAAGGGTATTTCGGGGAGAGGATTTTAATTTGATATGAGTACATAGTTTGTAGTTTATCTATTCACCTATGTCTATATAATGCTTTATTTCAAAAGTTCAAAGTGATTTTTTTTTAAATACTTATTCGATATCTAGCAAAAAGTTTAGTGTTTCTTCTTATGTTTCCGAAATCTGCAAGTAACTACTACCATGGTTTATTGGTGATGCTATAGTTCAATCTATTAAAAAAAAAAATGATAAAAAACTATATTCTCAAGTTAGTCTTGCTATTTCTAGTCTGTGTACTTGTCAACTAGTAATTCCCCTTTATACAAATGTGCCGATTTCATATACTCATAAATTCACTTTAATCTGTTGTCATAATAATATTGTGAAAATGTTGTGCAATTATCCTTTATAAGCCATCTGCCAGGTGTCCTATATGTTATTTATTAGTGATCCTCAGATTAAACTTTGTATCTGAATAGTGCATTTGTATAGTTTCCTTGAGTTTTAATGTCCATAATCTTGGGCCTCTTTGTAATGTCAAGCTAATTGCCTTATAGATTTTCATTCCAAGGAAATAAAATAAATAAAAAGTATTTTGTGTCCATCTACTCTGTATATATGACCATAATTACCTACATATCTCTATCCCATTTCCCTCCCTTATAGTAACAGGGATGAGGACTGTTTGTTAGTATTCTAACCTGTATGCCAAATAATTATTTAAAAACTATTCCTGGGTAACTGTTTGGTGCCTTCTGACATTCCTTTTGAGTCTTAGGATATTTATCCAAAATCTGTCTGTCGTCTATAGCTCTAATTCCCAGTTGCTTAACCTGAATTTTCAACTGAAAGTTTGAGTTTCAAGCAGTTTGACTCTTTGCCTTTCCATTCTGCCTTCTTAGAGGGTTGCATTCTACTTCATCACCTCTGACGTAGTGATTTGAAATAGTTTTGAATTGTTTCATGTTCATTTAAAGCTATGATTAAGCTTTTCCTGGAAATCCATTTTATTTTACTGCTTTGAGATTTTCCTGACTATGATGATACATAGAAACAGTAGAGGTTTCATAATTCTGCTTGTAATGATTCTAATGTCTTATCTCTATTGGATTCTCCTCACATAGATCAAGCTTGTTCTCCTTCCAGGACATATTGATTAGTGTAATTTTATTAGAGCTCTTGCCCCCTTCATATTTTTTACAGCAGGTGGCTGTCAAAAGGTTATTAATTGTCCATCGAAGATGTTATGAAGAGTTTTAAATATCCAGTGATGTAAAGGGATATTAGTTCTCTTAGGTTTGTTTTTTAGTAAGCAGTTGCAGTGTAGTAGTAGCAGCAATTGATCAAGTAGTGATCTTTTAAAGGATGTACATCAATCCCAAATGTTGAAAATTAGGATCCATACAGCTTTATGGTATATTTTTGAAGGGGAGAATTAGGGGTAAAGGTAAGGCTTATCCTGCGTTATCCACTTTAATGTTAAAATTAGGTAATCCTATGGACTAAAAAAACATCCGGTGGAGTGTGTGTTTAATGAGGAGGTATGAAAGATAGATTTTTATGATGTTTGTTAAATGTTATCTTAGATAATTTTTGTAACGAGGAGAAAAATATTTTCTTTGGACTTAATCCAAAATAATGTTATGTTAGTAGAAGTTCTGTTAGACATGCTATTATTCATCCATGCTTAATAGTTCAGATGTCCTTGTCCGAGAAAATCAGGCAACAGATTCATTGCTCCCTCCCATTGTTCCTATTAATGTCTCCTGATACTTCTTTTTGTCTCCCGTCACCTCCCCCTCTCAACACCGGCACTTGTCTGACTAAGCAGATCTGCAGTGGTACCTTTAGTTAAACTCATAAAAGGCACCACTGGCCATCATGAGGCCGTACCACCAAGCTGGTTTGGAATTGCCAGCCACCACTGCCTGTTCAGTTAAAAAAATATTTTCCTAAATGTCAAAGCGGCAGTCATAACAAGTGGGATGTAGTTGCCCATTTCTCACAGGACAGGTAGAATTGAAAAGGTTAAAACAACAAAATGCAGTCCCCACCCCAGTCTCCTCGCCGCCCAGCCTTATAAAGGGCAACTCCACCCTGAGCTCCCCAGTATTTACCTGTTTGAGAGAGAGACAGGTCAGGTAGCAGAGCCCTGCCCTCCCTTGGCAGAATTGGTGAAGCTATTCACTTTTTTTTTGTGTTTTGGATAGACGTGGTGAGGGGGCTGTGGCTCCTGGAGGGCTCCGTCTTGCTTTTGAAGGTTTGCTTAGCCAGTGCTCTGGTCTTTCAATTATCAGTTTATATGAACACACAACCGGCTCCTGTGTTTCACTCCTTTATCATTCCGTCCAATCCGTGCCGGGTGATGGAAGAGGCGAAGGTGCATCTGTACGCACAGCTGGAAGGCTCCATATGTGGACAACACAGAATGCTATGCACATGCACAAAGCAATCTCTGCACCTGGCGACAACTCTTGAATCTGGAGCCTAATTGCAGGATAATTAAACCCAGCAGTATCTGGCCACCAGGTGTGTTTCAGATTGGTTACCAGTGTGCTCTTACCAGCCCTCCAGAACACCAGAGGCTTATTATGGTGAGACAAGTAGCTTTCATCTTAATAGTCTTTCTTTCCGAAATAAGTCTACGGACATACCAGTCTTAAAGTGACTGATTTCATCAGATTTTAGAAGCCATCCAGACTCGGGCCTGGTTAGTATTTGTATGGGATGGGAGACCAACTAGGAACCTCAGGTGTCGTAAGTTTAAAAAAAAATAAAAAAAAAATTATATAGCCTCGGTATCCATATAGAAGGCACAAGCACGTTTAAGGTAAGTACATACTGGTTTATTTTTCAGCAAGCTTGTATCAAAATTTAAGGCTATTTCCAAGGAAGGAAAAGGCTGCATCCTGCGTAGGCTGGTCTGAGTGTTGCAGAAAGCCTTGGTTTCCTATAATGCCTGTGAAAGTCGACCTCATTGAACACACGCAAAGTTAGCTCTGTGTCAATGAAAACAGAAAAGGAATGTACACACAGGTTGTGATTCATCTCCTCTACCAGCAAATGCATGTGCACATTGTTTCTTCTGTTTTGGTGAAAAATTACCCACCTATGTACTGCTTAACTGCCTGTTGGTGTGCAATGCTCAGGCCCTCCTATGTACAGCCTTGCTGAATGTTTGCGGGCAGTGTTCAGACCAGCTATGTACAGCCTAAATGCATGTATGTGGGCAGTGTTCAGACCACCTGTGTTATTTTTCCTTTCTTGCCTTTAACCCCTTAAGGACCTAGGACACTTCAGGACCATCATCGACATTTTTGCGTTGCCGACCGATGACGGTCCTGAACTGTCCTAACAATAAAATGTACTTACCCAATCGCCGTCCTTCCCCCGGTGGCGATCAGCGGTGCTCCCGGTATGGGGAGACTGCCTGCAGCCCAGACAGTCTCCCCATTCGGATTAGGACCCCATGGGCCATGTGATCGCTCAACAGAGCAATCACATGGTCACAATAGGTGTCCATGTGTCTGCCTGCAGGGGGACTGCCTGTGCTGACAGGCAGTCTCCCTGGAACTGTAAAATCATAAAAAAAATAAAGTTAATGTTAATAAAAAAAAATTATATATATGTATATATATATATATACACACAATTTCATTCTAAGCGTATTTTGATATAAATATATATATTTTAATATCAAAATACAGTGAGAATAAAATTTCATATAGATATATAATTTAAAAAAAAAATGTATTATTTGTAATTTTTTAATTTAATTTAATCTACTTATTATTTGTATTTTATAATAAAATACATATATATATATACACACACAATATATATAGTTATTATATATATATATATATATATACATGTGTAATTTAATTATAAGTGTATTTTTATATTAATATATGTATATATTAATATAAAAATACCCTTAGTATGACATTATATATATGATATATAGACATATTATATAGATATAATATATGTCTATATATCATATATATATATATATATATATATATATATATATAAATAAAACTAATACAAAATATGCAAATGTCCATATATAAAATTACGTAAATAATTATATAAATATACACGTAGACTTCAAATATATAAATATGCATATATATTTAAATTCTATGTGCGTATTTATGTAATATTTTTAAATAATTAAGTAATTTTATTAATTGCAATTTGAGGGACCTGCCTGCCAACCCAGGCCGAAAGTCCAGAGAATTTAATTTGCTAGCACTATATTTTACCCTGTAACTTTCTATGACAACCTAAAACCTGTACATGGGGGGTACTGTTTTACTCGGGAGACTTAGCTGAACACAAATATTAGTGATTCAAAACAGTAAAACATATCACAGCGATGATATTGTCAGTGAAAGTGACTTTTTCACATTTTTCACACACAAACAGCACTTTTACTGATGATATAATTCTTGTGATACGTTTTCCTGTTTTGAAATACTAATATTTGTGTTCAGCAAAGTCTCCCGAGTATAACAGTACCCCCCATGTACAGATTTTATAGTGTTTTTGAAAGTTACAGGGTCAAATATATGGGTCAAATATTTTTACATTGAAAATGGCCAGGTTGGTTATGTTGCCTTTGAGAGCGTATGGAAGCCCAGGAATGAGAATTACCCACATGTTGGCATACCATTTGCAAAAGAAGACAACCCAAGGTATTGCAAATGGGGTATGTCCAGTTTTTTTTAGTAGCCACTTAGTCACAAACACTGGCCAAAATTAGCATTCAATTTAGTTTTTTACTTTTTTTCACACACAAACAAATATGAATGCTAACTTTGGCCATTGTTTGCGACTAGGCGGCTACTAAAAAAAACTGGACATACCCCATATTGAATACCCTGGGTTGTCTACTTTAAAAAAAATATGTACATGTGGGGTGTTATTCGGAGATTTATGACAGATAATATTGTTACAATGTCACTATTGATAAATTTGAAAAAATGTATGTTTTGAAACCGCAATATCCTACTTGTACCTATAACTTGCAAAAAAAGCAGGTAAACACTGGGTATTTTAAAACTTTGAATCTATTTAGCAGTTTTTTTTTATTCGCTTTTGTAGATGAGTAAAAGATTTTTCAAGTAAAAGTAAAAAAACATATTTTTTTCAATTTTTCATCATTTTTTTTTTTATTATTTGTTTTAAATTAAATTACATGAGATTATATAAATAATGGTATGTAAAGAAAGCATTTTTGTCCTGAAAAAAACAATATATAACTTGTATAGGAATAGTAAAAATGAGAGCAGAAAATTACAGCTAAACACAAACACCACAAATGTACAACATCGCAAAAACAGTCCAGTCCTTAAGGGGTTAAAGACACACTAAGATATTTGGTACACTTGTTTCAGTTAAATCACTGGTGTGATCTATTAAGGTATATTAAAAAACAAACAAAAACAAAAAAAACATACTGAATGTATGTGAAATTTTCAATCAGGGATATTTCTCCCAAAGATTAAATTACAATTATGTAAATAGTGCCAACATATTATGTGACGCTGTACAATACGTTAACCAACACAAACAATCCTACAAAACCTGTTTTAACCTACAGGAACGGTAGGTGAAGAGGGACCTACCCAAATAAGTTTATCTAAAAGCTTGTTTTTTTTGTTGTTTTTTTTATTGGGCAAAGTGAATTCCTCAACAGTGTTCCCATTATCATGGTTGTTTAACTGTTTGCTGCCAGTATAAATTAGTGGTGGAATTTTATAACATGGCAGGAGGCTTTGTATTTGCTTAAGTCTCTCTTTACTAGAACTCCACAGCAGCACAGAAAAACAACCAATCGGAAAAATGTTAGGTACTATAATACTCCCCTCCCCATACATCATTTCCTCTTTCTTTGCTGCTCCGCATCAGTACAGGTCAGAGTACCACTGCCTCCTGCTTTTAGTTGGTGGCTATATGTTTCCCTTATATTTACAGTGTTTTGGGGGATTTTTTTGTGTATTGTACCTTTATGCTCCTCTCCTAGTCTGCTATGGTTCGTGGGGAGTTTCTATTTTTTCCTTGCCTTATGGGGCTATACCCTTTATCTATCCCTCACCTTTTCCTACTGTCCCTATTCCTGATTTCCAACGGGTTTTTGTACCGCTCAGGGGCTTCAGGAGGCCAACCTTTTCGACCTCCTTCGATCCCCCCAAGCCTCGGGACAACAAAGTACACCTCTGGTGGTCCTGTGTCTGTTTTCCTGCCGATCACGTGCGTGCTCACAATCGAGCGAAGTAGCCGGGACTGGCGCTTACACACGTGGCTGCTTACCGCAGCCAGCTTGATCCGCAGACTGCACGTGTCTGCCGGGTGGTAAAGGGAGCGCTAGCTACACGCCCCTTTCCCCCAATGAGCGGTATACATACCGAGTGTCTCACTAGGAAGGTGACCCCCTCCCCAGCTGGGACCCAGGGGTGACTCCGGTCCCTGGCATGGGCCTGCAGGACGGTCTGGGAGGTCCCCTCCTCCTGCATCAAGGCTGGGTTTTTGGAGCATCCTCTTACTCACCATTATATGCATGCTGTGTCATAGCTCTGCATTACTGGACACTTTGGAGCTGTCTCATATAGTGGGCTGCACTATACATTTTACCATTTATACATGCTGTTACTTTTAGCTCTGCATTACTGGACAGTTTGGAACTGTCTCACTTAGTGTGTTGCACTATACATTATATCATTATATATACATGATGTTACTCTTAGCTCTGCATTGCTGGACACTTTGGAGCTGTCTCACTTAGTGTGCTGCACTGTACTTTATATACCTGATTAATACGGGTTTCTGGACGTTGTGCATTATATATTACTGTATCAAGAGGTTTAGATTTGGACCTTACCCACAAGGTGCCCAAGGATATATATTTACACGCATAAGGAGCGTCCCTAACAGTGACCATTAGGGCTATGCTATACTACACTTACAAGTGGCTTGGCCGGCTCTGTCTGTGCACATTTGATTGGCCTGCTCCGTCTGTGCCCATTTGATTGGCATGCTTTGTCTGTGCCCATTTGATTGGCCTGCTCCGACTGTGCCATTTGTAAGGACAATGCTTGTCCGCGCCCAAGCCCCATTGGCCACAGGCCTGGGATGTACTGCTGGGGAGTACCCCATACCCACTACAGACTGTCAGCACCGCTGCCATACCGACCCAGAGAAGCCTACAGGCATGATTGATGCGGCTGTGACCACCTCTGTTGAAAGACTGCTGTCGCGAGCCTCCCACTGGGGCCTCAGAATAGGGGCACAACGGGGACTCTGCGCTCAAATAGAGTCAGGCTCTGACTCACCAGAAAGAGACCAGCAATGTACACCTAGTGTTATGGGAAGGGTGAAGGCCCTGAACCTTGTGGCTGAAGGGCAAGACACTGCAAACCGCCCGGAGCGGACAGCCACGGTTTCACCAGCCCAACAGAGGCGTATCTCCTGGGTGAGTTTTGTGAGGAAACACATACAGTGCCCAGTGCTCAGACACCCAGGTTAGAAGAAAGGATTTCATTTTCTCCTAATCCCTTACTGCTAGTTCTTGATCCTTAGATCTAGGTTGTTTTAGCTAGGTCACGCTAGTTCTTGGCTATTTCTACTGGTTTTTCCCTATATTTTGCCTTTCCTGTCCATTATACTTCCGTCCCTCTGAGGTACGTATTTTTACTCTATCTGAACTTTACTTTAGTTTCTGTCACTTTTCTTTCTCTCATATCTTTCATTTCCTTCCGCCAGGGACATCGGGAGGCCTGTCTTGACCTCTTCCGACCTCCCGGGCTCTCGTGGATCGCGGAGAACGTCTCAAGCTTTCCTCAGGCTACCAACGGTCATCCCGGATCCCGCGCACGTGCGCGGGATCTGGGCGGTCCGTTGGTAGATTCCATCAGTTCTTCCAGAGTTTCCTTTCTCTACTGCCTCTTTTGTTATTAAAGAGGAGCATGGTCCGTGGTTGAAGACTCTCTGTCTTGAGGCTTGTAAGAATTTTTGTGGTAATTTATTATTGTTTTATTGTGTTTGCCCTTGCTTCTGTCACTTTGTTTATCTTTTCTTATATGTTTTCACTCTAGTACTTTTTTGTACATAATAACGTTTTTTTGAGATTGGTATAGTGTGCATTCTATATTCTATATACATTTGAAGACTCTCTGTCTACCATCAGTCCGGTTTATTCCCAGTTTGAATCCTCCTCTCAGGCAAGTGGTTCAGAGAGAGATCACGTGGTTAGGGAGGAACCCCCCTCAGGACCTCAGTCAGCATTCAGTCAGCCTGAGCCTGATATGGACTCTAGTTTGGATCGTAAGAGGATGCGGCCCTCCATCGCCTTAGCCCGAGACTGATATTATTTGCACGAGTTGAGAGCGAACCCCTCTCGTATACTGAACCTGACACTGATCCGTTATTAGAGGGCGCGACCCTCCCTCAACCCCAGTCCGAGGCTGATAGGTATGCAGAGGACATGTTCTAAGCGTGGCCCATTCTCATAGAAAGAGCCGGACTTGTTATTAATGGGTGCGGCCTCCTCATGCTATCAGCCTGACGCTGACACAGAGTTCAATTACATTATTAGAGAGTGCGGCTCTCTCATACACTCAGCGCACTACTGTGCCTCTCCCTTGTTCATCACACAGGCTTGTGCCAGTACAGACTTCATAGAGGGGCGTCCCTCCTACATTCAAGTTTAATATGGAGGTACATACCACATACCATGTTTTTTTATTTTATTTTTTTTATTTATATATATTTTTTTTTTTTTGTCAAATAAAACGCTTTTCGATACATTTCGAGTATAACATCGGTAATGAGACATACAATTAGGATGGTGCAAGCAAATGTACAGAACATGGATCTCAGGGATACAATGAATGATAAAGTTATGACTTTTGCATATACAGAATTTAGTTGTCCCAACTGTACGGTCAACTAGAATCTTACTCGTGCGAGATGGGCGCTTAGTGTCGACAGTTAGATAGGTTCGTGTGGTATTTTGTCGTGTACTGGTAACTTCGTCTACAGAGATAACTCGAAAGAAGCGTTGTAGTATGAGTACTAGTAATACTAATAGGCATATGTGTGCCTGTACCTCGTTCGGTCTGTGTTAGCCATCTTATGTATTTTTTGAGTCACAGTCATTAGATTAAATTGTGCGGTATCTATAGTCGTCACTCCGGTCCGAATCTTAGTCAGTAGGGTTTCGTTGACTTTGTTAGGGCTACTGTATAACTACTACTTCGTTGGTGCCTGTGTCCGGGTGCTCTGTTGGCCAATTCGAATCAACCCCCCTCCAGTACCTTCACCCCTCCCCCCCCCCCTGTGATGGTCAGTCCTGTCCGTCGAGGATGTCCTGTTTTTGATAAATGTGATCCAGAGGTTCCAGACCTCAATGTGTTTCGAGTGGTTTCCTAGTTTAGACTGTGCTATAGCTTCCATTAGTCTCGTATCTTCCGCCCTCTGTATCCATTCCCTGACTGATGGGGGTTTGGGTTGTTTCCAGTTTTTGGGTATTAATTGGGATGCTGCTGTAGTCAGGTGGATGAAGAGAGTTGCATCTTTTTTCAATAAGCCATGTGGGGGAATGTGGAACAGATAGTTGGCTGGGGCTAATGTGAACGTGGTGTGGAATATGATTTGAATGAGCGTGTGGATTCTGGACCAGTACTTAGCGATTAGTGGACACTGCCACCAAATGTGTGCGTGGTGAGCCCCCGCTTGGTTGCATCTCCAACATTGGTCTGTGGGGGTGGTGTATATCAGGTGTAACTTTGCAGGTGTGTAGTGCCATCTGGCGACTCTTTTAAAGTTACTCTCTTGGGTAGAGAGTGATATAGAAGAGGTATGAACCTTTTTTAGGATGGATAGCCATTGTTGTGATGAGAGTATAATATTGAGTTCTTCCGTCCATTTTGTCGTGTACCCTGGGAGAGTCTGTGAACGTGCGTCGGCGATTACAAAAGTGGAGAGTAGTTTTTTAGTGACCGAATGTGATGTGCAGAGTTGCTCAAATTTGGTCAGTGGTCTATCCCCGCTGGGCAACAGGTTATGAGTTCTGATGAAGTTTGTCAGTTGGTGGTGGCGCATTTGTTGTTCTACCGTGTGGGTTAGGTTCGGCAGAATATGGGATAGGGATTTAATCCCGCCCTCGTGTACCATATCCCTTAATTGCAAGGTAGAGCCCGCATGATATGTGTGGAATGCCTGTCCCGAGTCCCCTTGCTGAAAGAGGGGGTTGTGGGTGATTGGGTACAGAGGTGACGGGTACGGCGAGATTCCCGAGCTATATCTGAGTTTGTGCCAAATTCTCAGGGTTGGGTCTATTGTCGGGTGTGTTTTAGGGGAGATCGTTCGAAATTGTGGGCGAGCATCGGGCAACCAACAGATGTTGCGTAGGGTATGTTTGGACATCGCATTTTCTATATGCGTCCATGGCATGGCGTGAGTGGGCTTTGTCCATTCATAGATCCGTTGCAACTGAGTCGCCTGATGGTATTGCTCTATATCTGGGAGATTTACCCCTCCTTGCTCTTTGCTTTTAGTCAGTGTGGAGTAAGCTAGCCTAGGGGTTGTGTGTGCCCAGATAAATTTAGTAAAGATGGCTCTGATTTTTTGAAAGAAGGAACGGGGAATAGCAATGGGGAGTGTTTGGAGAAGATAGAGCACCCTAGGGAGGAGGTTCATTTTTATTATGTTAATTCAGCTAAACCACCCAAAGCATGGTTTGTGCCACGCTAGTAGGTCTTTGGCGATGGTCTCTATCAGTGGAAGAAAGTTTAATTTATAGGTACATTCCAAATCATTTGGGATGTGTACTCCTAAGTATTTGATGGACTTGGAGGCCCAGGTAAATTTGTATTTTGTTCTCAGCCTAGTATTGAGTGAGGCAGATGCGTGTATAGGTAGTAGTTCACATTTGGACAGATTCGCCCGGAAGTTGGAGAGTCTCCCATAGTTTTCCATTTCGGTAATTATGTGGGAAATCGTCACTGACGGATTTGCTATAGTGAACAGGAGGTCGTCCGCAAATGCCGTGACCTTGTATTCCTGTGAGTCTATGCAAATGCCCCTTATGTGGGTGTTGTCCCTTATCCCCTGCAGAAAAGGTTCTAGCACCAGAATGAAAAGGAGGGGTGAGAGCGGGGAGCCTTGTCTCGTTCCATTTGTGATGGCTACTGCTTGTGTCAGTTGGCCATTTATTCGTAGTCTGGCTGTTGGCCGTGAGTAGATAGCGTCTATCCACTCCTGCCAGCGAGAGCCAAAGCCCAGTAGACGGATTGTGTGTTTCAGCAGTGCCCAACTGACCCTGTCAAAAGCTTTTTCAGCATCAATGGCCAGAAGGGCACTGTCGATTTTGTGTATTTGCGCCCAGTGGATAAGGTTAATGACTTTTGTGGTGTTGTTCTTTGCCTCTCGGTGTGGGACAAAGCCAGCCTGATCATGGTGGATAAGACCAGGGAGTAGGGATTTGAGTCTAGTGGCCATAATCTTCGTAAGGATTTTCATGTCTAAATTTATCAATG